AGATGTGGTGCCAGGGGGGGGGGGGGAGTCTCCTCAGCCCAGCCTGCACCCTCTCCAATCCGGGACCCCTTGGGGGATGTCTGACTGCCGGTTTAGGTCCCATCCCAGGGATGGGGCCTAAACTGGCAGTCAGACATCACTCTCACAATCCGGGACCACTGGCTCCTAACTGCTCACCTGCCTACGTGCCTGATCGCCCGTAACTGCCCCCCTCTGCCAGCCTGGTTGCCCCACACAGACTGCTGTTCAGTCATTTGGTCATCCCTCACTAACACCCCTGCCAGCCTAGTTGTCCCTGCAGCCTGCTGTTCAGTCGCTTGGTTGTCCCTCACTAACACCCCTGCTGACCTTGTTGCCCCATGCAACCTGCTGTTTGGTCATTCATTCGGTTGTTTCAGTCGTGATGGCCCCTGGCTTTTTATATATTATGATAGATTACCATGAGGATCAAAGGATCCAATATATGTGACAGTCTTTTGAGGTTGTAACCTGTTAGACAAATATGAGACATTTTTCAGAGGATTTTAGACTTTTAGACATACAGGCCTTCAGAAAGCATCTGACGACCAAGAAACAATCCAAAGTTTGAACTAAGCATTTCTAAAGTCAAGTACTATGTTAAGGCTTCACAAAAATATGTTTTCCCCTTACTACCATACTCTAAAGTAGACATTTATCCCCATACAGGTACAATGGGAGAGAAACCTGCATCAAAGGACACGTGTCCTAGTAAGGATGGAAATGAATCTAATTCATGCCTGCTGACTCGAAACAAAACAGGGCTCTTGCCCATTCTCCAAGATTGACTTCCAGTTGTATCCTGTGTCACAGCATCCAATCGCCCCTTCCATTTGGCATAGTAGAACTATATCAACAAAACTAATCAACAAAAACAAAACAATTTAACAAAATAATTCATTTCATGATTTATCCATTTATTCAATACACCCTGATTAAAGAGCTATTAAGTGCCTGAAAGGAGGCAGTTTCCTAGACCACCTCTAAAGAAGATAAATTGAACTGATGCTGAAATGCACAGCTTTTCTACTTCCTTGTCCAAATCATGAAAACCTGTGCTGGTGTGTCACCAGGCAAAGAGGCAGGGCCTCAGAGATGGCAGTTCATAGGAACCCCATTGAAGAAGAGCAGTTCTAGGCCACATCTCCTATTGGCTGGGCAGACCACTGGATCCCAAACCACTGTGGTTATTTCAGCCTGCACTTCCCTCAACTGTTGCTCCCTCTTTTGCCCTGTGCCTTTATATACACCTACCTTCATCCACCAGGCCTGCCCCCAAATTTATCAAAGTTCTCCTGGAACCTCCCCGAATGAGCACTTCTCCTTTGTTCTTCCATAGCACCCTGGACTTATGTATCTCACAGCTAATTATCTGGTTACTTCTTTCTCTTTGTAGCCCTTGTGTTGCCAGCAGCAGCATTATTTTCTGCAGTCACCACAACTTTTATTATTATTTTTATTTGTTAATCCTCACCCAAGGATATCTTTTCCCCATTGATGTTTTTAGAGACAGTGGAAGGGAAGGGTAGATACAGACAGAGAGAAACATTGCTGTGAGAGAGACACATCGATTGGTTGCCTCCCACACCTACCCCAACCTGGGCGGGGGATCTAGCCTGCAACGGAGGTACATGCCCTTGACTGGAATCAAACCCAACTACCCTTCAGTACGTGGGCTGATCCTCTAACCAAATACAGCTAGAGCAACACTTACTTTTTAAAATACGTTTTCAATACTAAAATGAATAATGTTGTTAAAAAATTAGAAAATTTGGACACCATGAGTCCCACAACAAAGCAACACAAACTAGAGGTGAGCATCAGGTATTCCTTACAAAGAGAAACATTTACTTTGTAGGCTCAGTTTCCACCATTTCCTATTGTCACACTGGGCTCCCTTCATTTTATCACCAACCAAGGCATTGGAATTTGCCACCAACTATTAGGGTTTGAGGATTTAATGACAAGAAATGTGATCTTGCTCTAGAACTGTAATTCACCCAAAAAATGTGCCTTATAGCTGTTGAATGAATGAAAAAAATCATTAATTAGGGCTAATATTTTACTTCAGGGTCATCGTAATGACTAAAACAATATATGTGAAAATTAGCTGCACCTATAACTTGAGATTGAAATATAAGTTACTGTGATAGAATACAATTTTGGTCAGGATCCCCCATTTCTTGTAAATAGTACAATAATAATCACAATGATCACTAAGGAGGGAGATCTGGTATTTATCTTTCTAATTTTAACAAATCAGTAACCTTTCTGAGAAGGATTTTTATTTTTGGTCTTATAATTGACCCAAATATATGACTCAGAATAATTCCAATAACCTGGATAATTTTTCAGAATAAATTAATTTTATTTTTCCATTCTTTGAAAGCCATTGGATTTATTATCGAACATGTAGTACATGCTAACAGGTAATAGTTTTTTCTAGTAAAACTATATTAACATTATGTAATGCAATATATCCAACTCAGACATTTTTCCAATATGCAATAAACTAAAATATTTTTTTAAATCAACATTAAAGTAAATCAGCAGGCTTACAATTTATAAAATCAGCATTGAAATAAAGCCTGTGCTATACATACAGAATTTTACATTTTAATGGTGGAGTATAATAATAAGTGGCTAAGAAATAATGTCAGTCCCATATACTAAGAGAATTAAAAAAGAATTAGAACAATAACTCTTATAGCCTCTAGTTATTCTGTACCTTAGCCTGCAATTTCACTGTATTCTGAAAATTGTTCTTCCTACATCATGGAGTTGGCAGCCCTTTTTGTAGCCTAGGAATCTCGCAAAGGTGTGCTGCAATAAAAATAGACATATCGTTGCTTGCTGGGAAATGAGAATGATTTTCCTTTTTTTCAAATCATGAAATATTTTTTTACTAAATCTCTACATGCTCTAAAATGTTCTTTTGCCAAATACAATATCTTCAATTCCCCCAAAGTTCAAAAACATTAGGGACTGCTCAGTGTCAGGCTCCAATAATTTTTTCTTAACAGAACTTAAACTATGATAGAGTTTTAAAACTAATTCCTTTTATTTCTCTGAGTTGCAGACTCTATCATCTTTGCCTTAGTAAAATAACTATAATACAGTGTTCTTGAGATGTTCAATAAACAAGTACATTGTAACTAAGGTACTTTTCCCCAAATTCATAAATGTTTATCCTAAAATATAAATAAAACAATTGCAGCATTAAGGACTAAAGGCACCTCAAGCATCAGCCCAGTCTATTCTAAGAGAATTGTGCACAAGCATTTCTAAAACACAGCTGTTTAAATTTTTATTTTAGAAGTGAGTCTGGATAGATTCCAAAATCACTCTCTGCAACATGTATAGTGTTCTTCTCCAGTATAAGTAGCCCCCATTCTTTTAGAATTTCCTCATATTAGACCCAGCTAAGGCAACTCAAGAGTGGCCAAATAATATTTCATTTTCGGATATACAAGTTCCTTTGTCTTCTATAATTGCTGATAGGTAGTTGTTCTCTTTTTAAAATCTAGGTTTTAAAACTTTAGTTTAAAAGGTACATATTCTGTGATATGTGGACAAGAAGATAACCCAATACTGTTTAAACATCTTACTTTTAAATGTAAACATTTTAGACAGATAAAATACGAAAATACAATGAATGGACTCACTGCCCAACCAGTAAATCATGAAAAGAAGTTGTGTTCATATTGCTTTATTGTTCTTTTTCTTCAGCTAGAAAATTGCTTTAAAAAGGCTATGATCTTTACTAATTAGCTGCCATGTGATAAACGTATTTAACTGCTCCTGGTGTATATATACTCAAGGTAGGTATTCTTACTCAACCTGAAGTCAACACAGAGATTGCTGGTCTTCTCCAGAATTTTAAATGCTTGATTTTACATATTGATTCATCAAATTGAAAAGGATTTGCCTTTTTCCTGTATTAAAATGCCTGCAGTTTTTCCATGTTGTGTTAATTTTTGAATGGTAGTACTGATTAGTCACAGGGGATTGGGTTATGGGTAAGTTCAGAGATTGAAATAGTTTAAAAAGGAGAATCAGCCCAGCCAGCATGGCTCAGTGGTTGAGCACTGACTTATGAATCAGGAGGTCACTGATTCCCAGTTGGTAGAGGTCCAGGCTCGATCATCCCCAGTGGGGGCGTGCAAGAGCCAATCAATTGGTGATTCTCATCATTGATGTTTCTATTTCTCTCTCTCTCCCGCTCTCCCTTCCTCTCTGAAATCAATAAAACAACAACAACAAAGGAGAATCAAATGAATGTTAATAGAATTCCTCACTTATGTTTCAGAATACCTCACTAGATTCATATATTAGAGATAGTAAATTAAAGTAATACATTAATCACAATATGTGTTTCTCAATTCTTTTCCCACCCAGTCTTCTGGGTAGGAAAGGCACATTACATTGCATTTTCAAGTGCATAAAAAGCCTTCACATGTCCTTAACTTCACATTCAAGATCTTGCCTGAACTCAAGAGTCAAAAGACACTCCCATCAGGCCCTGGCCCGGTAGCTCAGTTAAAATGTCCTCCCAATATGCCAAAGTTGCAGGTTTGATACCCAGTCAGGGCACATGCAAGAATCAACCAATGAATCCATAAATGAGTGGAACAACAAATCAATGTTTGTTTGTTCTCTCTCTCTCTCTCTCCCCCTTCCTCTCTCTAAAATCAATATTTTTTAAAATATTTAAAAATTTGAGAAATTCAAAGAACTTAAAAATATGATACTCCATCAAAGAAACAAACAACTGCATGAATGCCCCCAAAAATATTAGCACAACATCCCAAAGTTAGCACTAACTATGGGCAAAAAAATCTAACATGGCCTCAGTAATAAAGTTAATGTCAATAGGACATTTTCATGGGCTAAAAAGTAAAGAATTTACAGAGCTCATGAAAACACACCATGCATTAATGTTAAGGCAATATTTTAAAAATGAAATGGCATCTCTGTTTTGTATTATTTCAGAACAACTTGATAAATATTATGCAAAGAAAAATTCTTAAGTACCCACATCTCTGTGAATAATAATGTTAAAAACTGTTTTCTACAGTAGGACTCAATTCTCACCTCCTCTAGTTACATATCTTTAAATCAGATAATAAACAGTGCTTGAAATAAAATAATTTTTAAGTTACATTGAAAGTAGCATTGGCAAAAATGCCTAAGGTGAACCTGCACAACAGAGAACATATTAAGTAAATCCCAAACTTATGCAATATAATCCTCCCTTTTGCATAAAGTATCTGATCATGACAAAAAAAAACAACACATTAAAGTAAATTTGTGTGTTTGCGTAAGAAAACTGTTTCCTGTTTACATAAAGAAATCATCTTCTAGTAAAGAAAAATTGTCACTGGAGTCAAAACCACAACTTCATAAATATTTTGAGTTAAATTGTTTCAATTAAAGCCAAGGCCGGTTTGGCTCAGTGGATAGAGCGTCGGCCTGCGGACTGAAGGGTCCCGGGTTCGGTTCGGTCAGGGGCATGTATCTGGGTTGCGGGCACATCCCCAGTGGGAGATGTGCAGGAGGCGGCTGATCGATGTTTCTCTCATCATCGATGTTTCTAACTCTCTATCTCTCTCCGTTCCTCTCTGTGAAAAATCAATAAAATATATTTTTTAAAAAAATTGTTTCAATTAAAGAAATACCGAAAAGTGCTTATGGTTTTGTTTGAAAATTGAGTCCTTTTACTAAATGCAAAAAAAGGTGACATGGATATCTTACAATGGTAAATGTAGGTTTGATGCGTAGTTCTCTACCATCAAAACAGACCACTGAAGAGTAGTAGCTAAATTTCTATTCAATGAAATGGCATCAGAAGGCTGTGAAAGCTGACTCTCTTATCTACCAGTATTCTATGCTCTACCCATCATCACAGTACTAAGAAATAGGCTTACATTTGCGAAACTTTCTTTTTCCGCACAATGAACATGTTTATGGACCACTTACAAATCGTGTAAATGTTCTCTTTCTACCTCCTCAGCTATAACTGGGTAGTCTGGGCCTGCACACAGCTTCCTCCTGAAAGTGCGCTCTGGCGCGGGTTGGAGGTGTCTCCGGCAGGGGCCCAGCGCAGTCGGTTAAAGGCCAGAGTGAAGCCGCACGCAGATTGATTTATGTACTTACACACGCCTGCCTTAGAAGCAGATTTATATTTATAAGATCCCTGAAGAGAAAGGCTAAGTCCCGTCATTCCGGACGCGAAAGAGACCAGGATATGTTCACACCCTCTAGTCCCTCCAGCAGCTGCGACCGAAGCTCCCGCGTCTGGGGAGCCTCCTTCCTCCACAGTCCCAGGTTGTCACTCCTTCCCGGGTCGTCCTCGTCAGCTCAGTCCTCCTGCCCCCCTACTCTGCAGCAGAGCAACCCTAGCTTGCCCCTTTCCTCCGTCGGGCTGCTGCCCCCTCTTAGGGCCGCCATCTCGCAAGGGTCCGGCGGGGCAAGGGCTATGTACTGCTGCGCAGCGCGACACAGCCCCGGGTAAGCCGGCACCTACCTTCCCAGGCACCTGAGAGGCTCCGCCCGCCGCGCTCCGCAGCGCGCCCTGCAGGCCCCGGCTGGAGTGGAGGCACCAGAGCGCGCTGGGCCGGCCTGTACAGGGTACGAGGTTCGGAGCTGGACTGGGGTCCACTCCCCGCACGCACGCGGATCGCGTCCAGGGACCGCCCGTTCGGCTCGGCGGTCTCGTAGCCCGGCAACGGCCACTGCCTCCTGGGGCCCCGCCCACCTCCGGGCCCCGCCCACCGTGTCTACCGCACCCTTCAAGTCGCACGGCCCCGAGGCTCTCCTAGGCGACCCCTCGCAGCCTCCCTGCAGTCCGTGGCTGGAGAAGGCGAATGTGACCTGGGGCAGGGATGGTGCGGGGTAGGGGCTGGAAGGGACACAAAAAACACCGAGAGCTTGACTGTGTTAGGCGAACTGCTTTGGCGAAGGGAAGGAACCTTCCTTCCTACCCTGCATGTGTGTTCCCAGGACGTTTGTGCTTTCCCTGGCGGGTCACATTCTACCCAAGCCCGCTTCAGCATAGGAGCAAAGGCCCCCGGAAAACGGTGTGTCACGTTTGCTCTGGTCTATCAAGATCATGATGGCCTAGCTCACCAACAGCCGCCTCATTTATTCATTGATGGATTTTCCCAGCAGATGTTCACCCAACACCCTTTCAGGGTTTGTGTTCTAATTAACTGTGTCCATGCCAAGACCAGCTCAGTCCAACTCTAAGGATCACTAAATAAACTCAGAGCCACTGGTGATGTAGGGAAGCACAGCCTGGCCTCCATGCCTTCATTAGTACTTTGTATAAGGTGTTGACACTTCTGAACTTTAATTTGATAATATACGAAGCAGAGAGGGTACCCACTTTGCAGATTTGTTGGAAGGAGTGAAAGAATTATGTATGTAACAAAAGTACTTTTGCAGCAGTAGAAAGCTATAGTAATTATAATTATTGTTTTATCTGTCCAGTGAGTGAATAAATAGACCAATACTTTCAAACCCAAGATATTGGGCATGACTTATGTATTGGTTTTGTTTTTCCCACACAACTGCAAGTCTTTTTGGATGGAACCAAATTCTGTTTTATATACCCCAAGGCCCATGCAGGCCTCTCAATAAATATTTGTTGAATGAATGAATGTTATTAGACTTAATTACTGATAACCACATCTCCTGATCCATACTGAGAACACTGTAGTATTGTACCAGTTACTTGTGAAAAATACATTAAAATATTATCATCACAAGTGTCACACATCAAGATTGTCTACTTCAAATCTAACATGGTCAGAGTAGAAATCAAATAATGACTTATTTGTAAATGATTTACAAATGATATACACTATCTTATTTGAACCTCAAAGCAAGTATACATCTCCCTGCCCTAGTAGCTGTTACCTAGTACTACTAAAGATTTGGTATCCTGCACTAACGTGTTCCTTATCATATTGAAGTTACCTGTTTGGGTTCCTCTCTCCAACTAGACTTCAATCTCCTGAGGACAAATCTTTCATATCTCAGAGCCTAGCTAGCATGTAGGATACTCAGTAATTTGTTAGGCTGAATTACTGCATCTTCCTTCATAAGGACTCCAGCATTCACACCTTCTTCCTCTTTTTCTCTTGGTCTCACCATGTCCACCAAAGTACAGGCCCTCTCCACCTTTCACTTGAATGTTGCTCCTACAAAGTTTGAATATTGTCAGACCTTCTCCTTGCTGTTTTGTCCAGTGGACCTATTTCAACCTCCCTGCCATTACTGTCACTATCCAGTAAAATGATTAACATTCCTCATTGTAAAGAATGGCTTCTATACTCCTTGAATTAGGATTCAGAGATTTCCAGGTTTGGAGTCCACCCATATTTTCAGTCTTACCTTTCTTCTCTTCTCTAGACTTTATATTCTTTACTAGAAGCCCGATGCATGAAATTTGTGCAAGGGGCTCAGCCCTTGCAGCCCCGGCTTCATCTGGAAGGTCGTTTGTGGTTGTCTGGTCTAATTAGCATATTCCGCTTTTATTATTATAGACTAGTGGCCAGGTGCAAGAAATTCGTGCACTGAGTGGGGGTCCCCCAGCCTGGCCTGTGCCTTGTCACAGTGTAGGAGCCTTGCGATGATCACCCTAAAGAGGTAGGCCCCACCCACCCATCTGGAGCTCTTTCATGGATTGCCCCAAAGAGGTAGGCCGGAGCCATGGACCCCCAGGCCTCCAAGCCACAGGGGGGTCTGCCAGCCTCGCCTCCTCCACGTGGTGCAGAGGAGGCTGGGCCCCCCCAGGCCGCCGCACCAAGCAGGAGTCTGCTGGACTGGCCTCCTCGGTGCCATGTGGAGCCGCGGGATCCCCAGGCCCTGCTGCATGTGGAGCTGGGTGGAGGCAGGACTCCCAGGCAGTCTCCATGCTGCGCACACAGCCTCAAGCCCAGCCCCACCCATCTGCTATGTGCACAGCCATCTTGTGACGATCTGAAGGCATCATGGTGTGACAGCATGAGGACCACCTAGGCTTTTATTAGTAAGATATTCTGGCCAAACTGGTCGGTGTGCCTTGACTCAAAGTGCCCTGAACTTGCCCTTCTCTTGGATCTCTAAGTTTCCTCTTCATATACACCTATTTCCCTCACCTCTCTGATGCCTTACTTATCTGACTTTCACAACCAATTTATAAGTCACAACTCTCACCAGTCCCCAAGGTTTGTGGCCTTCTTATTAGAATGATAGCACTTATCACATTCTCTCATATGTCATAACTATCTGTAACTGAGATTTCTTCCTCAAGGAATTAAAAGGAGTTCTATTTTCAGAGAAGGGTTACATTTTGTTCAAACTTGTATCTCTGATAGTATCAAAAATTCCCATAATATTCAACAAATGTTTTCTGAGTGGATTTATTCTGCCAGCTCAGAAAGTTTAGCCAACTGTCCTTTCTTCTATGGCCACCATTTGTCCTTAGAGCCAGTGACACATGATGTAGTTCTTGCATCATTTCCTGTGTATGTGATTGATCTTCCCAGTAAGCTTGTTAGCTCACTGAGGGGAGAGACTCTAATGCGAACACACACAGGCTTTGGCATCAGATAATCTAGCCTTAGATCCTAATTTGCCATTCACTAGTTGCATGCCTTTGGAAAAGTTACTTAATCTCCCTAAATTTCCATTTCTTCAACTATAAAATGAGTTGTTTCATTGGGGGTTATTAAATAAGATAAGGTATTTAGATCACTTAACCTAATGCCTGTCACATAGTAAGTGCTCACTCAATGCCAATCAATATTAGCAGCAGCATACCTTGTGTAAGGCAGACAATGCCTAACATCAGTATATAAATGATAATAAAAATGATATTTGACAGTGGTGACAAAGATCATTGAACCTCTGTGCTCTGGCTATTAAATAAATCTTATTCTCTAAAGAAAAGCATGTTAAGTTAATACATACTCCTCACTTTACCTCACTTTGAAGGTATATATGATCTGGAGGCAGTATCTGAAGGAGAATCCAGGCCCACAATTAAGCACCAGAAGTGGTACAAAAGGAACTGCATGATCCCTGGGCTCATTCAGAATGAAACTGATGCTTAGAATTGGGGCTGCAAGCATTTTTCTCCCTTTAAAACACTGACTATTATTAATGGGTTGAAATTTTTATTGTGAAAGCCAAATTGCTACATGGATCTTGATAGAGGTGCTATTGCTTTAGGGTTGGTATTTCTGAAGTTAGTTTTAGCAATATCTAAGCTAAGGCATTATGTTTATCTGATATAATAAAAGCCTAATATGTTAAGTGTCCGGTTGTCTGGTCGTCCGTTCAACCAATCAAAGCATAATATGCTGATATGCTAAGTTCACTCAACCGCTCACGATGACGTGCACTGACCACCAGGGGGCAGACAGTCAACTGGTCGACCAGTCACTATGATTGATGTGCTCTGACCACCAAGGGGCAGACGTTCCGACTGGTAGGTTTGCTTGCTGCTGGGGTCCGGCCGATCAGGACCAGTGAGACGGGCTGAACATGCCCTGGAGCCCTCCCGTGGTCCCTTCCTGGCTGGCCAACCTCCCGTGTCCCTCCCTGGCCCGATCGTGCACTGGTGGGGTTCCTCAGCCTGGCCTGCACCCTCTCGAAATCCGGGACCCCTCAGGGGATGTAGGAGAGCCAGTTTCGCCTGATCCCGCAGGCCAGGCTGAGGGACCCCACTGGTGCATGAATTCGTGCACCAGGCCTCTGGTTTAGAATATTTTCCCCAAAAAGTTGAACTAATGAAGTAGCAAACTTCTTGAAAAATAGCTTCAGTGATAAGCTAGCTCACTGGAAGAAAAGTTAATTGAAAACTATTTGACTTCCTAGTAATTCCTAGTGTAAATCATTATTCCTTGGGAAAATGGAGTGGAATGAAAGCTACATGAAAATTCTGAATTTTGTCTCTTAGGTCACAGTGACTGTATCTAGTAGGTACTTGACAATTTGTTGAATGAATTAATGAATGGGGTAGGAATCTCAAAGAATAATAAAATTTTCCAAATATAGTTAAAGGCTCTGGTAAGCAGGACACTACCTTCCCTGTCACCTGAGAGGCTCCACCTGCCACGCTCCACAGTGTGCCCTGCAGGCCCCGGCTGGAGTGGAGGCACAGTGGTGTATTGGCTCAGTTAGTTAGAACTTTGTCCCAATATGCCAAAATTTCGGTTTGATCACTGGTCAGGGCACATGTAAGAATCATCCAATGAATGCATAAATAAGTGGAACAACAAATTGATATTTCTCTCTCCTGCCCCACTCTCTTTCTCTAAACTCAATCAATAAATTTTTAAAAATCAAATATAGTTAAGAAAATAAGGAAAAAAAATTAACTAGGACCCAAGATTTAAATAATTCCCAATACCCCTTGCTGCCAATTATAGACTATCAGTGCAGGGTTGAGGCCAGATGTTGAGTGACTTGCTCAAGATCAGACACCAAGTTAATAATAAAGCTAGAATAAAAATCTAGGCTCTCTGAATCCTAATATAATCTTCACCATACTGCTAGTGCATAAAACAATATACATGAAAAGGCCAGGGAGGTTATTTATTTAGTTTATCTAATGTTAAACTCATGACATTTATAAAGCAAAGTTGTTGTAAATTGTAGCAACTGCACTGATCTTTGTGAATTTATGGCACCTCTGTTGGCCAGACTCTTTTCATGTGTTTAATGAAAGAAAAA